TCAGTTTTCTGAGTTGTTATTGGTCTGTTCAAGTTTTCTATCTCTTCCCCATTTAGTTTTGGGAGACTGTGTGATTATAGAAATTTGTACATTTCTTTTAGATTGTCCAATTTGTTGGCATATAATTGTTCATAGTGTTTTTTAACAATCATTTGTATTTCTGTGGTGTTACTTCTCTTTCGTGTCTGATTTTTTTATTTGGGTCCTCTCTCTTTGTTTCTTTGTGAGTCTGGGTATAAGGGTCTATCAGTCTTGTTTATGTTTTTAAAGAATCAGCTGTTTGTTTCACTGATCTTTTGAATTGTTTTTTTAGTCTCTGTTTCATTTATTTCTGCTCTGACTTTTACTATTTCTTCCCTTCTGCTTGCTCTGGTTTTTCTTTTTGTTTACTTTCTAGTTCTTTAAGTTGTAGGATTAGATAGTTAATTAGAAATTTTTCTTGTTTCTTGAGATATAAACTTCCCTCTCAGGACTGCTTTTGCTGTGGCTCACTACTCATTGGTTTGTGGACTCATGCTTCAACCACTTGGCCAAACTGGCTGGTGCCAGATCCTTGTTTTTCATTACCTTGATTACTTTATGCCATTCACTTATGGCCTATAGAGTTTCTGTTGAGAAGTCAGCCGATAGCCTTATAGGGTTCCTTTGTAGGTAACCTGTTGCTTATCTGTTGCTGCCTTTAAGATTCTCTCTTTGTCATTAATTTTTGACATTTTAATTATTTTGTGTCTTGGTGTGGGCCTCTTTAGGTTCTTCTTACTTGGAGCTCTCTGTGCTTCTTGTACTTGTATGCCTTTTTCCTTCATCAAGTTAGGGAAGTTTTCTGTCACTATTTCTTTAAATACATTCTCTAACCCTTGCTCATTTTTTTCTTCTTCTGGAACTCCTGTGATATGGATATTGTTATGTTTTATGTTGCCCCGCAGTTCTCTTAAGCTATTTTCCTGTTTTTTAATTTTATTTTCTGTTTTCAGTTCTCTGATTGGGTTATTTTTTTTCTACCCTGTCTTCCAATTTACTGATTTGATCCTCCGCTTCCTTTACTCTGCTGATTATTCCTTCCAGTGTGTTTTTTATTTCTGCTATGTCATTATTTCTTTTTGGTGGTTTTTCGTTTCCAGTTGGTTATATTTTATTCTTATAAACTAATTCAGTGGAAAATGTATTTTGTCATACTATCCTCAATATAAAATCTCTTATCTTATTTGGACTTATGGTGGATCTACATGGCAGACCATAACGAACCTTATGTAGCACTCATTGTTAGGCACTTGCAACAGCTTTATTAAGTGGATATTATTTTCATCCTACTTTGTAGGTGAAGAAACTGAGGCAGAAAAATTTGTACCTTATCAAAGTAGATAGAATATATTTCATTAAACTATCTAGAATATCTCAAACTAACCTTTGGCTGAAGCCACCCACCATTTTTGTTAACTAAAAGCAGAGGAGCCCCTCATATATCTACTGCTGAAAACATTTTTTTTCATGATTTATTCTCTTTTTCATTGTGCTTAATTGTCTTATAACAGTTGTTTTCTCTTACATCATTAGTGTTACATTATAAAGTCTACTTATGGACTTATTTGGAGTGCCTATTATTTTTTAAGATAAAGTGGAAGGCAGGGAGGAAGAGAGAGAGAGAGAGAAACATTGATGTGAGAGAGACACATTGATTGGTTGCATCCTGAACAATCCCAACTTGTGTCAGGGATTGAATGTGCAACCTAGGCATGTGCCCTTTACCAGGAATCGAACCCTTGACCCTCCAGTGTGAGGGTTGATGCTCTAACCACTGAGCCCAACTTTCCAGGGGTAGACTGCCTATATTTAAAATCTCTAAACTTTAGAAAACAAGTGTGCACTACAAATGGTCTGCCATAGTGTCTTGCATATTGATTATAGTGACTCCTGAGTCCACTCCTTTTTAAAAAATTATTATCTAACTTTTTAAAAAAAATTTTATTTAATTTTTAAATTTTATTTTTGTTACAGATGTTTCTCCTTTTTTACCCCATTGGCACCCTCCCATTATCTCCACCACCCTGTCCCCAGCTTTGTTGTCCATGTCCACTGGTTATGCATACATGCATATAAGTTCTGTGGTTTATATCTTCCCACACCCACCACCCCCTCTTCTGAGGGTTGTCATTCTGTACCCTACTTTCATGTTTCTGGGTCTACCCTATTCCTCAGACTGTTATGTTCATTGTATTCTGTATATAAGTGAGATCATGTGGTATTTGTCTTTTTCTGCTTGGCTTGTTTCACTTAGGATAATACTTTCCAGGTCCCTCCATGTTGTCTCAAAGGATAAGAGATCTTTCTTTCTTACAGCTGCATTGTACTCCATTGTGTATATGTACCACAGTTTTTTGATCCATTCGTCTACTGATGGACACTTGGGCTGTTTCCAGATCTTAGCTATTATAAATAGTGCTGCTATGAACATGGGGGTACATATATTCTTTCTGATTAGTGTTTCAGGCTTCTTAGGGTATATTCTTAGAAGCGGGATCACTGGGTCAAATGGCAGTTCAATTTTTAATTTTTTGAGGTAACACCATATTGTTTTCCATAGTGACTGCACCAGTCTGCATTCCCACCAGCAGTGTACTAGAGTCCCCTTTTCTCCACCCCCTCGCCAACACTTGTTGTTTGCTTATTTGTTGATGGTGGACATTCTGACAGGTGTGAGGTGATACCTCATTGTTGTTTTAATTTGCATCTCTGTAATGATTAGTGATGTTGAGCATTTTTTCATATGTCTCTTGGCCATTTGTATGTCCTGTTTGTAGAGGTGTCTATTCAGCTCCTCTGCCCATTTTTTAATTGGGTTCTTTGTCTTCCTTTTGTTGAGTTGTATGAGTACTCTATATATTTTGGAAATTAACTCCTTATCTGATGTATCATTGGCAATGATGTTCTCTAATACAGTGGGTTACCTTCCACTTTGATGGTTGTTTCTTTTGCTGTAAAGAAGCGTTTTAGTTTGATGTAGTCCCATGTGTTCATTTTTTCCTTTGTTTCTCTTGCCTTACGTGATGTATCAGTGAAAATTCTGCTGCGTATAATGTACGAAATTTTGTTGCCAATATTTTCTTCTAGAATTTTTATGGATTCACAGGTCACATTTAAGTCTTTTATCCATTTTGAGTTTATTCTTATGTATGGTGTAAGTTGATGGTCTAGTTTCATTTTTTTGCATGTAGCTGTCCAATTTTCCCAACACCATTTATTAAAGAGGCTGTCTTTACTACACTGTATGGTCTTACCACCTTTGTCAAATATTAATTGAGCATATTGCCTTGAGTCCATTATTATTTAACTTTTTAAAAAATTTTCCTGAAGCCACTCTTTAAAGCATCTGTCCAAAACATGGCGATTAAATGTTATTTCTTAAAAAATGGCCTTTGAGCCCTGGCCGGTTTGGCTCAACGGTTGGAGCGTCGGCTTGCGGTACAGAGAGACCTGGGTTTGGTTCCCGCTAAGGGCACGTGCTTCGGTTGCAGTTTGTCCCTGGCCCTGGTTGGTCGTGCGGGTGGCAGCCACTCTATGTGTCCCTTCACATCGATGTTTCTCTCTCTCTCTTCCTCTCTCTCCCTCCCACTCTATCTGAACAAAAAAAAAAAGGAAAAAATGTCCTCGGGTGAGGATAAAAAAAAAAAAATGGCCTTTGAGGGATTGTTTATTATTTTCAAGATTACCCTTTCCATACGTGGTTTTAGTATCTCACTTTGAAAAATGTTGACCTCACTCCAAGAAGTATGGGACTGCTATTTTATTCCCCTTTTTAGTATGTGGGTGGGTTGCGTCACAAACTGTCACTTTGTTATTAAAAATTGTTTTGATATCTGTTGCATGAATGGATTACAAGATTGATGTAGAAGTATCTTTGTTCTCTTTCAGAGAACAAACTACCGGGTTTGTTTTCATCTACATCAGCAGTTTTCAACCTGTGGGTCGCGACCCCTTTGGGGTGGAAGGACCCTTTCATAGGGGTTGCCTAAGACATAACAGTAGCAAATTTACAGTTATGAAGTAGCAACGAAAATAATTTTATGGTTGGGGGTCACCACCACTTGAGGGACTGTATTAAAGGGTCGCGGCATTAGGAAGGTTGAGAACCACTGATCTACATGTTAGCCATTAAAAGAAGCTTTTTTTTTTAAATCCTTACCCGAAGACATTTTTTCATTTATCCTCAGAGAGGGAGGAAGAGAGAGAGAGAAACATTGATGTGAGAGAGCTAAATCGACTGGTTGCCACACCCACAACCTCAACTGGGGCCTGGTACAAACTGCAACTGAGGTATGTCCCCTTAGCGGGAACTGAACCTGGGACTCTCTGGTCCACGGGCCGATGCTCTAACCGCTGAGCCAAACCGGCCTGGGCAAAAGAAGCTTTTTTTTTTTTATCCTAACTCGAGGACATTTTTGCATTCATCTTTAGATAGAATGAGAGGGAGAGAGAGAGAAACATCTATGTGAGAGAGACCCATTGACAGGCTGCCACCTGCACAACCCCAACTGGGTCCCAGAGCAAACTGCAACCAAGGTACGTGGCCTTAGCGGGAACCAAACCCAGGTCTCCCTGGACCATGGGCCGATGCTCTAACCTCTGAGTAAAACCGGCCAGGGCTAAAATAAGCTTTAAATTATTCCTTTCATCTGCCAAGAAATACTTGTAAACTAGAATTTTCAATATATTAATTATTCTTATACAGATGTGTTTTAGTCCAATTTATTTTTTTAAATTTATTTTTATTTTTGAGAGTATTACAGATGTCCCTCATTTTTCCCTTTTTGCCCCCCTCCACTCGGTTCCCAATGATAGTATGGTATGGACCCCTTCTCCCTATTAGTGGTCTTTTCCCAATAATTAAGGAATAAAATTATCCTTTTAAAAACATATTACACCAATATTTTATTCAATATTAAACTAAGTGACAAACTTCGTAGTTCTCTATATTGAGAAGACTGTATTACTGTTGTGACCAGGTTATAGAACAAATGTTGAAATGCACAAATGTTTATGAACGAAGTAAACAACGTATTCGACTCAGAGAAGTTGGCTACTCAGGATTGGGACTCCTTCTGAATGAAGCACCTGTTAATACTTCTATCATTAAAAACCTCACCAATCAAATCATAAATACAGGTATGACTAAGGCTGATGAGACTGATGATTTTAAAAAAATATCTTTTTAATCCTCATCAGAGATTATATTTTTATTTATCTTTTGAGACAGAGAGGAAGGGAGGGAGGGAGAAATGGGTCAGGGGGAGAGAAAAGAGAAAAGAAGAGAAGAGAAACATTAATAGGTTGCCTCCCAAACATGCCCTGACTGGCATCAAATCCGAAACCTAGGTATGTGCTCTGACCCGGAATCCAACCTGCAACCTTTTGGGACAATACTCCAACCATCTGAGCCACCCAGTCAGGGCAATACTGATTAGTTTTAAGAAATGTTCTTCATAGTAGTATAATTTTATATGGTGGTTCTTCATTTGTTTTTCCTGAGGGTTTTTTTCTTTTTTCCTCAAGTCACTTTTTAAATTACCTATTATTTGATTTAGCAAGGCTTTCCTTAGGTACGATTTATGTACTTTGGTGTTTTATTTTCTTCCTAGGACTAACACACTGCCTTACTTGTTAGGCCTTTAGTTAATGTTTATTGACTGAGTGATTAGTAAATAATTGAGTCTCTATAACAAGAAAAAGACATTAGAGAAAATACATAAATATACTTTATCTTTTTTCTTTATGGAGCTTAAATTCTTAAAGGCAAAATTAAAATTAATTTTATGTATATCTTTATAATCCTTTGTTTTAGTACATTTTAAAAACGGTAAAATTTATATCAGATGCTGGGGGTTCAAAAGGTATGATAAGATCTTTGTGTTGAGTGGTTTACCATCTTGTTGATAAAACAAAACATATACTTAAAAAGATAAATAATAGTATAAGATCTAAGTAGTATGGACAGTATATTCAGGCAAAGAAAAGAAAAGAATAATTTACAATTTACTGAGGAAGGTGTCATACATTCTAAACCTATTGTCTTTGCAAAATTTAAAGATCTCTATAATTACTATTTAAAATAAAGCAATTATTTCAGCATTTATATAACTATTACCAACAGTTTTTTTGAGAAAGAAGAAGCTGGAGACATCAAACTTACTGACTTTAAACTGTAATACGAAGCTATAATATTCAAAATAGTGTGCTGCAGGTATAAAAACAGACACAAACCAATGGAACAGAATCAGGAATTCAGAAATAAATCTATGCATATATGATCAACTAATATTTGATAAGGGATCTAACAACACTCAGTTGGAAAAAGTCTTGTCAATACATGGTGGCAGGAAAACTGAGTATCTACATATAAAAGAATGAAAATGGACCCCTATCTTATACCACTCACAAAAGTGAACCCAAGTGGATTAAAGATTTAAATGTAAGACCTGAGTCGTAAAACTACTAGAAGGAAATGGGGAAAAGCTCCTTGACATAGGTCTTGTCTTGACAGTAATATTTTGGATATGATACCATAAGTACCAGCAAAAAAAAAAGTCAAGTAAAGCAAGTGGGACTGCAGCACACAGAAGCTTCTGCACAGCAAAAGAAATCATCACTGAAATGAAAAGGCAACCTGCAGAGTGGGAGAAAATATTTGCAAGTCAAAATCTGATAAAGGGTTAATACTCAAAATAAATAAGGAAATCATGCAATCCAACAGCCAAAAAAAATCCAATAAACAATGAACAAAGGACCTGAATAGATATTTTTCCCAAGAAGATGTACAAATGGCCACAGGTACATGAAGAGGTACTCAGCGTCCTTAATTATCAGGGAAATGCAAACCAGAGCTACAACATACAACTTCACTTCTGTTAAGATAGCAATTATCAAAAAGACAAGAGATAAGTGCTGGTAAAAATGTGGAGAAAAGGAACCCTTGTGCTCTATCGGTGCTAATGTAAATTGGTACAGCCACTCTAGTGAACATTATGGAGGTCTTCAAAAAATTAAAAACTAACATTGAGCAATCCCATTTCTAGGTATATATCCAAAGGAAATTAAATTACTATCTCTAAGAGAAGTTCATTGCACCATTATTCACAATAACCAAGTCATGGAAACAACCTATGTGTTTATTGACAGATGAATGGGTAGAGAAGTCATTATATATATAAATATATACAGTGGAATATTAACCATAAAAAGGAAGGGCATCCTGCCATTTGCAACAATATGGAAGAGTCTGCAGAGTATTCTGTTAGTGAAATAAGTCAGTGGACAAATACTGTATGATCTTACTTATATGTGAAAGAAATTAAAAAAAAGATCAGCTCACAGAAACAGAGAGTAGGTTGGCGGTTTCCAGGGCTGAGGGAGAAGGGGATATAGGTGAAAGTGGTCAAAGTATATAAACTTTTACTTATAAGATGAATAAGTTCTGGGTATCTAATACACAGCATGGTAACTATAGTTAACAATATTGTGTACTTGAAAGTTAGTAAGAGCAGATCTTAAATGTTTCACTATAAAAAAAAGGTAACTGTGAGTTCATGGGTGTGTTAACTAAACTTACTGTGGTAATCATTTTACAGTATATACATTTATCAAATCATCATGTTATATACCTTAAACTTGTACAGTGTTTTATGTCAAATATATCTTAACATAGTTGGAAAAAATAAAAGGGCATCTGTTGTTGACAGCAAAAAACTAAAATAAAAATGAAGTAATTATATCAGCATTTGTATAACTATTACCTACAATTCCTTCTTTGGTTATCTCTGGAATTTAATTTTAACTTGTTGTTTTTTCCCACCACAGATCCTGCTATTAATTTCAAAGATCTATTATCTGTGGTATATATATCTCACAGAACATATATAAATGTCAGGGTGGTCATCTGCAGAAAGGTTAGTAAACTTTGAAGATAGACTTTAAAAATAGCTTCATTATATTATGAATAACTTTTAGATTGAGTATTTTGCACCAGATGTAATTTTAATATTTTTTATTTTATAAATAACAATTTTCTAGTTTTCTTTTTTGAGGTAAATTAACTTCATGTACTCACAAGCAATCAACATATGAATTTGTTCTTCTTAGCCCTACATGGGCTCCTGGAAATATGCCCTTTCAAAGTAAAAAGTTTATAACCAGAGAGTAGTTTCTTTATTAAGAAATTTCAGTGATTATGACCATTTTAAATTCATTTATTTTTGAGTTTCTAAAACTTTTGAACTTAGTGGAAAGAATTTTCTGTAATCTCTTTATGAGTATTGCAACAATGATTTGCCTTCAGTGTACCCATTTAACCATTAACTAAGTTGACAGTTAGTTATCCCCTGAGATTCTTTCCGATTATAACCTTTCCTCTACCCCACTGGTAACCACTGACCTGTCTAGTATTTAATTTGCTTCCTTGCTTTTATTTTCTCTTTTCCTGATTATGTAACAGTATTTTTCTATCAGAAAATATGGATATATATCTTTCTCTTTAATGGCTGCATAGTTTTTCAGTTTTTGGCTATTCTATAAAGTGTTATCTGGTTCCTTGTTGATGAACATTCAGGTTGTTTCTTCTTTTTTTTTTCATGTTAATAAACTTCTGTTATGAACATTTTTTGCATATATCTTTATTTGTGGTAATACATCTGTAGGACATAATCCATGAAATGGAATTGCTGTGTCAAAGCGTATTTACAATTTACATTTTTATTGATTTTACCATATTGTCCTGGAAGCAGGCCATGTAAATTGATCCTTTTAGTGTGCAATTAGAAACAGCTGTCCATGCAACCTAGTTTTTATCCCGGCAAAACTTAATCTGGGAGTAAAAAATAATTGATATGCTGCAACTGTACAGTAATGGTAGCTCACTGATTAATAGCATTAGTGAAGAAAGAAACTTCACATGTCATTTGTGGCTTATTATTTTCTATATCAGCATCAGTGTACATTAGAACTATTAAAGTCCCTACCAACATTATTCATCTCCTGCTATAAAACCTGTCAGAGTCAGGAACTCTGATAAAAGAGAGATTCTAAATTTTGGAAGCCAAAATTCTTTTCTTCTACATAGAAGTTTATTGGCTTTGTGTTAAAAATGTTATAAAGATCTTAATTGAATGTGACAATGTTTGAGAACTTGTTTTTATTCCCAGAAAAAGTGAAATCAGTTGGATAGTGGAGATCATACACATTGCCATGTCAGTGTGTATTCTTCAATTTCAATTTCATATTCTAGTTAAATAGCAGCTTCTATTTTATTGGAATTAGTTTTTTTTTTAACTTTAGTTTTTTTATTTGTACAATATAGAGTGAATGGAAAAAGTGTTTTTGCAACTGTCAACTTTGCCAGGAAAAAAATGAGATGGAAAAATACTGTTCTTGGGGCACTTACGTTCTGTTAAAGCGTCTTGTGTATCCTATCTACTCCCTTAACCCTAGTACCAGAACTGTGCTTGCCACATAGTAAAAGTTGAGTATTTGCTAAACAAATATAATAGGATCATGGAAAGTATTTAGTTAAAGAAGATACAACTTTTTATATTTTACTTTATTAAAAAAAAATTTTTTCTTTATTGATTTTAGAGAGAGAGGGAGAGAGATAGAAACATCAATAAGAGAGAATATCAGTTGGCGGCCTCCTGCATGCCCCACAGTGAGGTAGGGCCCACAACCTGGGCACGTTCCCTCACTGAGAATCGAACTGGCGACCTCTTGATGCATGGGTCAATGCTCAACCACTGAGCCACACAAGCTGGTCAACTTTATTACATTTTAAATATACCTTTATTCTATTTATATTTTCTCTCTGACCAAGTTAAATGAATAATATGAGTGTGTTGACATGTGGAGAATTATCTTTTTTCCTTTATTTTTGAGCAAATATTTGAGTACATCCTTACTCTGTAATGAAATGTGTGGATTAGTTACAAACATAATGCACGCCGCCCAGACAGCTCATAATCCAATTATAGCGGAGTCTTTTGAAAGTGTACCTTCTGAAAATTTCTTAAGTACTTTGTCATTAAAATAACTGAAAAGAAATTGTTTTTGATGTAAAGTACTATGTACTTTTGGATGAATTTTGTGTTCTTAATCTCTTTACAGATTTTACAGATTTTACAGTCCCAGCCAGATGCATCACATCAAATATCTCAACAAGTGGGTTGGCAAGACACTTTAGTTAGACTTTTTTTAAAAACAAATTTTGAAAATGGAAATATTCTTCATAAACACAATAGGCCTGTTTTAATGAAAGACACTGATAAAACTATACCAGCTGAAGATATTAAGAGGAACTTTTATGAAAAGACAGATGATGAAAAAATCAACTCTTTTGCCTCAGCTAATGTGCCTTCCGATCAGTGGAGTTTGGAGGATAGACACTCTCTAGATTCAAACACACCATTATTTCAAGAAGACAGCTCTGTGGGAGAATTGTCTTTCAAATCAGAGAATCAGGAAGAATTCTGGCACAGTAATCCTTCACATTTGAGTTTAGATTTTGGTGGAATTGACTCATGTGAACTGAGTGATGGTGGCAGTCAAATGCCAGATAGTTTACCTAGCACGCCATCCCCAATAGAGTCTACTAAATCATTTTCTGTGCAATCTGACAAAGAAAGCAGCGCCACAAATGATATGGGCTTTAGTGATGACTTCTCTTTACTTGAAAGCCAAGAGGTAAAATACCTTTTTTTTCCAAATGCTGTTTTTATTTTTGTATGTCTGTTATATACTTCTAATCCTTAGAAATGTGTAATTGTTAACAATTTCATTTTATATTCGTGTTCTAAGTCTCATGATCTAAGACACTAGAAGCCTGTAAGTCACTAAATTATGTGTGTCTTGAGAACAACGCCTAGTGTCTAATCTTTCTATCTCTCTAGGACCTACTAATCAAGTTCCACATTTATCCAGACACTTTAATAATATGTTAAAGGATTACAGTCAGTATATTTGATTTTCTTATTATGTGCTTTTAACACCCCCTCCCTCCATTAATTTAATATTACTTTATATTTTTATAGAGATATGAGGAGGAGCTTCTTCAGTTACTGACAACTATTTTGATCTATGTAATGTGTAAAGGACTAGAAAAGTCTGATGATGGTACTTGGATTGAACGGGGACAAGTGTTTTCAGCACTAACTAAAACAGGAATATCCAGTGAGCTACTTCGACCATCAGAGGAGATAAAACTAATGTAAGCATTTGGTTGGTGACTTCCCCTCTCCTCTTGGAGTGGGCAGGAGTCTAAAATATTTTCTTGAACATTTATCCAGTATTCAGTGGATGTAGAGAAAAGGAGAAACTTTGCCATTAGCCCCCTTTCTGCCTGTTGCCATTCTGTTGGGATCTAGAGAGAAATCCAGTTCTGGCCAGTTTACTCAGTGGTTAGAGCATCAGCCTGTGGACTGATGAGTCACAGGTTTGATTCCGGTCAAGGGCACGTACCTTGGTTGCGGTTTGTCCCCCAGTCCTGGTCAGGGTCATGCGGGAGGCAACCAGTTGATGTGTCCCTCTCATTTGGATGTCTGTCTCTCTCTTTCCCCATCCCTCTAATGTGAAGAGTTTTAAATCTTAAATTAATTTGGGTTTTAAGTCATTATATATTCTTTGTTGTTTAAATTGTTTTCTGTAGTATCTAAGTACTTGGTGCTTGTGTTCTACAGTCTTGTTCATATTTAAGTGTTACCATGCTAAGGGAAGGCAGGAGTGTTTTTATGAAAATTCTCTAAAGCATTGAGTTATCTGCATATGATGGTAAAACACTAACAATAGCACACTAGGAGAGAATCACTTCTTTGTTTTTCCACAGAGCTTGACCTACTCCAAGGCATAATAAGGCTTTCTTTTCTAACCTTTCCAATTTCAGCTTTAAAGAAACTTAAGTATTTCATAGAGACTTGAATGTGAATTATTTTAATAGCTTTTTAATAGTCAAGTCAACAGGTAACTTTTACTTTGTCATTTAGTATTAGGTGTATTATAAATAGATACACCAGCCCTGGCCTGTGTGGCTCAGTTGGGGCGAGCATTGTCCCATGCACTGAAGGGTCTTGGGTTCAATTCCCTGTCAGGGCACATGCCCAGGTTTCGGGTTTGATCCCTGCTTGGAGTGGGTACAGAAGGCAACTGATCAGTGTTTCTCTCTCACATCGATGTTTCTGTCTCTCTCTCTCCAAAATCAGTCATTAAAAAAAGATACTCCAAAGATTAAAAAGTTGCTTCATTGTTATTAAATTCTATCCAAATGTTTTATGAAGCCTGCCAGTGATAGTGTATCTTTGGAGATACAATCTATTAAAAAAAAACTTAAAAAAAAATCCTACTATTTTTCTAAGTTTAAAATGGTTTTAAGAGGACTTTATTCTACATTTAGTTTGCTGCAGAAGATGTTACAATGGACAGTCACAGAAAACAGAGAAGCAAAAACTAATCCAGTAACTGCTGAAAATGCCTTCCGACTCATGCTCATCATACAGGACTTTCTGCAATCAGAGGGACTAGTTAATTCAGACACGTGGACTGAGAAGGTGCAGTACTATCTCTTTGAAATTATTTCTTTCATAATGAGAGACTTTATTTAAACAAAGAAATTTTATGTCCCCTCTTTTCAGAGTATGAATGTTTAATCAGATGCAATAAATCATGGATAAGATGTGATAGTCTCAGATTTTGTTAGTTTGTTACTAGGATAAATCTTTTGGATTTTACTAACTGAACATTGAACTAGTTTTGAAATATTTATAATTTGTATTCGGGTTGGGGGAAAATTGTCATCAGTAGATTAAAGAACTGATTTTTTTTTTTTTTTCTTTTTCAATTTTCCCTTTGCCATAGCTTTTAGAAGATATGATGTTGCTCTTCGACTGTCTGTCAGTTTGGTATTCTGAAAGTCCATTATGGGCAAAACTCTCTCAAATTCAAATCCAGTTGCTTCTAGGATTTATTGGAAGGGGTAATTTGCAGGTTTGTCGATTCTTTTACATTATTTTCTATACTTGCAAGCAATATAGGAATTATTTGTGTGAAAACTAAATGATAATATGCTTTTAGTATTTTAATTTTTTTATTCCAAAATATTTATGATTTCATTCTGGTTTCAGTTTTGAGAATCAGCTAATTATTTCTTCCTGATGTTTATGGCTCAGTATAATTTTAAGATTTTCTTTTAAGGCCCTGGCTGGTTTGGCTCAGCGGTTAGAGCGTTGGCCTGCGGTCCAGAGAGACTCTGGTTTGGTTCCTGCTAAGGGCACGTACCTCGGTTGCAGTTTGTCCCTGGTCCTGGTTGGTCATGTGGGAGGCAGCCACTCGATGTGTCCCTTTCACGTCGATGTTTCTCTCTCTCTCTTCCTCTCTCTCCCTCCTAGTCTATCTGAACAAAAAATGAAAAAATGTCCTCGGGTGAGGATAAAAAAAAAAATTTCCTTTTAAGGTATTTATATATAGCTTATATTATAGAAGGCATTGCTCATATCTATATTTAGTGCAGCTAGGAGCTATCCTGCTTGTATAGACTATTTATACGTGTTCAGTTTATGGCTTGCAGTTTAGGAAATCATTTTTTTAAGTTCATTTCAAAATAATTTTCTGTTACTCTACTAATCCACTAATCCAGTTTTACATACTATTTAATGTTTTTTCATTCATCAAACACCTTCTGAATATATACCAAGTATTAGCACTGTGCTAGGTTTTCAAAATAAATAAAATATAGACCCAAGAATATATACATTTTTTTATCCTCACCTGAGGACATTTTTGCATTTATCATCAGATAGAGCAGGAAGGAGAGAGAGAGAAACATCGATGTGAGAGTGGTTGCCACCCACACGTCTTAACTGGGGCTGGGGACAAACTGCAACCGAGGTACATGCCCTTAGCGGGAACCGAACCCTGGACTCTCTGGTCTGCAGGCAGACACTCTAACTGCTGAGTCAAACCGGCCAGGGCGACCCAAGAATATTTTATATTTCTATTTCAAATTAAAGATTTTAAAGATTGGAAACGTTCCATGTGAATTTTAGTTATGTCATCTTTATTTTTACATTGGATGTTTGTGATTACCTGGGTTGGATTAGTCATGACATGTGTCTCATAGCTATTTACCTGGCCCTTTTTATTTTCTTTTGGTATTAGAATTTTAAGTACTTGGGGTTAAGGGGGGTCTGGGTGAAGATGGTTTCTGATATAAAAAGTTTGCTATAATGATAAGAACACGAGGAGGTTAAATTTCATAAAGTTGCTTTATTTTGTTTTATTATTATTTTTAATCCTCACATGAGGCTATCTTTCCATTTTTATTCAGATAGGGTGGGAGAGAGAGAAAGAGAGGTAGAGAGGGAGAGAGAGAGGGACACATCAACTGGTTGCCTCCCGCATAACTCCAACCAGAGCCAGGGATGAACCTCAACTGAGGTATGTGCCCTTGACTTGAATGGAACCTGCAACTCACTGGTCTGCACGCTGACTCTCTAACTGCTGAGCCAAACTGGCTAGGGCTTATTTTGTTTTTTAAATATGTTTTTATTGATTTTTTTTTAGAGAGAGAGAGAAACATGGATGTGAGAGAGATACATCGATCTGCTGCCTCCTGCATGCCCCTCTCTGGGGATCAAGCTTTCAACCTGGGCATGTACCCTGACTGGGAATTGAACTGGGACCTCTCAGTCCTTGGGACGACGCTCAGTCCATTGGGCAGCTGGGCAGGTTGCTCTATTTTAAAAAGGCCATACTTTTTAGTAGATATCTTTCTCTAATCGTGAAAGTAACACAATTTCATTGTGGAAAATACACAAAAGCATAAAGAGGAAAAAAATGAATAACTTATTCATTATCTTATAGCCTAAAAGAAAATAACTTTTAGTATTTTTTTCTATGCATGAATTTGTCAGGTGATTGAAATCACCAATATTTTGATAAATTTGTATTTTTTCTTTCTCATAATTATATCAAACTTATTTCTCCATGTTACTAACTTTTTAAAGATAGTTTTTATTTATAGTCATAAAAGCAACACATATTCATTATAAAAAACATGGAAATTGCAGTAAAGCTAAACCAGAAAATGGGTATTGTGATATATGGATGGTAGAAGTTTGAATTGTACAGCCTTTTAAATGCAATTTGAAAATATATGAACTAAGAACTCAAAAAATTATTACATTATGTGTTTAGTAATTCTGCTCTGAAAGTATATCCTGAGATAGTAATCTGAAATACCAACAGTCTATACAAATAGACATTCATTGTAGTATTTTTTTTCCTCTACCTAGAAGAAGGATGAGAAAAGCTTTTTTGGCTTTTTCATTAATGTTAACCTGATGACTGTTAAAGCATTTGCAGCCAGTATGTGGGTAGTTATTTATTTTAGATATTAGGACTCTGTTTTGTTTCACTCATAGACACACTCTGTGTTTTCTGTTTGATGAAATTTCACTAAATAAAATGTCTGTTTGTTTAACTTGTTCAACATTAAATATCCAGGGCCTGTCCCAAAGTTGGGCTCTGTAAATACTTGTTAAATAAATTAGTACAGCACCTACAGTTAAGACTGATCCTACCTACCAGTAGTCAGTGATTTAAACCAATTCTCACTAGCCATTTATTTAATTTCATTCTTTCAGAAATGAAAGAATATCCCTGAGGTTGTGTGTTAAAAGCTAGGAAAGGAACTCCTTTTTTTACAGAAGTTTAAATGTAGCTGCCTGTAAAATGAATCTGGCTAGCAAACTTCTTTTGCCTGGCACATACATATTAGCTAATTGTCAGTTTTTATGTATTAGGAGATTTTACATAAAGACCAAGATTTCCAGCTTGTCTGTAAAGTGAGACTTGTTTAGAAATGCTGCATTTATTTACGTGAGGTATATGGTCAGTAGTTTGTCTGGGTCCCTACTCTCAGAATTGTCTTAGCTCATCCACTGGTGGAGGAGCTTTTTCTAAATACCTTTGTGGGGTATTACCAATAGTAATTAAATCAGAAATGGGGAACTAGGCCATCAATGTATTTTATACTTTCTCAGGTGACCCTAACGCAGTACTCTTAAAGATGGAGGGGGGGGAGGATCATATCTCTGTGTGTGTGTGTGTGTGTGTGTGTGTGTGTAGTATGTGTTTTATCCAAAATAAGGCAGTGGTCAATTAAATTATATTTATTAAAAGTCTTCTTATACTTTTAAATATATAAACTTATATTTATTTTATACTATAATATTAAGTTAAAAGCAAAGCACTGAATATTCTACTTTTTAGTCCGGCCGGTGTGGCTCAGTGGTTGAGCGTAGACCCATTCACCAAGAGGTCGCTGGTTCGATTCCTGGTCAGGACACATGCTCAGGTTGTGGGTCCAATCCCCAGCGGGGGGCATGCAGGAGGCCGCCAGTTGATGTTCTATCTCATCAATGATGTTTCTATCTCTCTTTCTCTCTCTCTAAAATCAATAAATGGAAAAAAAAAGTTACAAGTAGAAAAGCTAAATTTTGAGCCTTCTTAGAGATTATTTTCTCCAATGCTGTTTGCTTCTTTAAGATTTGCATGGAAAGAGTGCCCAAGATCTCTTGTTGATTTGGCCTATAAAGACCTGTGCAGCCCTGGCCAGTTTGGCTCAGCGGTTAGAGCGTCGGCCTGCGGTCCGGAGAGACCCGGGTTCGGTTCCCTCTAAGGGCACGTACTTCGGTTGCAGTTTGTCCCCAGCCCTGGATGGTCGTGCGGGTGGCAGCCACTCGATGTGTCCCTTCACATCGATGTTTCTCTCTCTCTCTCCTTCCTCTCTCTCCCTCCCACTCTATCTGTACAAAAAATGGAAAAATATCCTCGGGTGAGGATAAAAAAAAAAAACCTGTGCATACAGGTCAGACCAGCTTTTGGCACAAATACATTCTTGACATGATATCAGGTTCTAATACTTTCTTTTTTCTATCTTGCATTTTAAAATTTTGAATGTAGCCCTGGCCAGTTTATTCAGTGGTTAGAGCGTTGGCCTGCAGTCCAGAGAGACCTGGGTTCAGTTCCTGCTAAGGGCAGGTACCTCGGTTGCAGTTTGTCCCCCACCCTGGTTGGGTCATACGGGTGGCAGCCACTCAATGTGTCCCTTTCACATTGATGTTTCTCCCTCTCTCTCTCTTCCTTTCTCTCCCACCCACTCTATCTGAACAACAACAACAAAAATGTTCAATGTAATAAGATTCAAAATTGGGATTTAAGGTTAAGGAAGAAGACACTATACCATTTGTCCTGATATGGTGGTTAAGGCTTAGAACTTTATCATAAACAAATGGAGGCCCCTTTGTGACTTTATTTACCTTTTACGCTGCGTTTTAAGGCCAAAGCTTAATAATAATGCAGGGTATTCCTTTACATGGATTTGTGCCCAGAATATGTATTTTCCTTGGGAATTTCGATTTCTTTTTTCTTTCTTTTTAATTTTTATTGATTGATTTTCTTTCTTTTTTATTTAATCCTCACCTGAGGACATTTTTCCATTTGTCTCCATATGTGTGTGTGGGGGGGGAAACATTTCTGTGAGAGAAACACATCAACTGGATGCCTCTCGCATGACCCAACCAGGGTCGGGGACTGAACTGTAACCGAGGTACAAGCCCTTGACTGAAATCGAACCTGTGACTCTTTGGTCTGCGGGCTGATGCTCTAACCGCTGAGTCAAACTGGCCAGGACATTTTATTTATTGATTTTCAAGGGAGAGAGGAAGGAGGAAAAACCAGCAGGAACTGAGGCTGAGGCTCCTGGAGCCTCAGGCAGCTCCTCTTAAAGGGCCCAAACACAGACTTACTCGGACTCGCACCTTCTAGGCTCCAGGGTGGTAGAGGCAGCTGGAAAGGCACCAAAGACATTTCGGGAAAGAACTGAGTTCTTTGGCATTGGAACGAGGGCTGGAGAGGTGGCTTTCTCCTGGACAGACCTGCTATCAGAGGCCTTTGTTCCTTTGGTGAGCCCTTCCCTGGGGTTGCAGACAGCAGCCATATCCTGGACTCCAGCAACTTGGCTCACACTGTTTGCCCCGCCCAGGTGATTCCCTGAGGCCTTGCCCCACCCAACTTTCAGGCCCACCCAAGCTGGTGCCACTTGCTTTACCATAGGATTGGCCTGTCTTGGATCCTGCTTCAGGTTTTCCTAAATTCTTTCAAACAAGCAGCACCTGGTCTCAGCTAGCCCCATACCTCTCGTTAAGCAATACATAGAAACAAACACAGGAAGGCAGCCAAAATGAGGAGACAAAGAAACAGGTACAAAATGAAAGAGCAGAACAAAACTCCAGGAAAAGAACTAAGCGAAATGAAGGTAAGCAACCTAATAGATGCCGAGTTCAAAACACTGCTTATAAGGATGGTCAGTGAACTTGGTGAGAACCTCAGCGAACTTAGTGAGGGCCTCAAGAGCATAAAAAAGAACCAGTCAGAAATGAAGGAGGCACTAACTGAAATAAAGAATAATTCACACAGATTCAGTAGTAGAGTAGGTAAAGCCAAGAAGCAAACCATCGATTTGGAATATAGGGAAGCAAAAAAACCCCAATCAGAACAACAAAAAGAAAAAATTCAAAAAAATAAGGATAGTGTAAGGAGCCTCTGGGACAACTTCAAGCATGCCAACATTCGCATCTTGGGGGTGCCAGAAGGAGAAGAGAGAGAACAAGAAATTGAAAATCTATTTGAAACAATAATGGCAGAAAACTTTCCTAACTTGGTAAAGGAAACAGACATACAAGTCCAGGAAGCACAGAGAGTCCCAAACAAGATGAACCCCAAGAGGCCCACACCAAGACACATCATCATCAAAATGCAAAAGGTTCAAGACAAAGAGAGACTCTTAAAAGCAGCAAGAGAAAAGCAGTTAATTACCTTCAAGGGAGTTCCCATAAGACTGTCAGCTGATTTCTCAAAAGACACTTTGCAGGCCAGAAGGGAGTGGCAAGAAATATTCAGAGTGATGAAAAGCAAGAACCTACAACCAAGATTACTCTATCCTGCAAAGCTGTCATTTAGAATCGATGGCCATATAAAGACTTTCCCAGACAAGAAAAAGTTAAAGGAGTTCATCACCACCAAACCGTTATTATATGAAATGTTGAAGGGTCTTCTTAAAGAAAAAGATAAAATATATGTACAAACAAAATGGCAATGAATACATATCTATTGACAATTGAATCTACAAATGAAATGAACAGGCAGAACAGAAACATTCTCATAGATGCAGAGAAATTTTGTTGGTTGCCAGATGGGAGGGGGATTGGGGGAATGGGTGAAAAAGCTAAAGGGATTAAGAAGTACAAATTCATTGCTAGACTGACAAACCTCAAAGGGAAGCGGGGTTGGGGAGTGGAAAGAAATAAACCAAAGAACTTATATGCATATATGCATAACCAATGGACACAGACAACAGTGTGGGGAAAGGCTGGAGTGGGGAGGAGTGGGTTAGCGGGGGAAAAATGAGGAACATCTGTAATACATTCAACAATAATGATAAGTTAAAAAAAATAATAACTTAGTCTCCTGTGTACCTTTCTTTTATGTATCAGAATGCTTTGATTCCAAGTATCAGAAACATCAAGTCCAACTGACTTCTTAAGATTTGTTGGCTTGCCCTGGTCGTTTTGGCTCAGCTGTTAGAGCGTCTGCCTGTGGTCCAGAGAGACCTGGGTTTCGTTCCTGCTAAGGGCATGTAACTCGGTTACAGTTTGTCCCCGGCCCTGATTGGGTTGTGTGGGTTATAACCACTTGATGTGTCCCTTTCACATCGATGTTTCTCTCTACCTCCCACTCTGTCTGAACAAAAAATGGAAAAATGTCCTCGGGTGAGGATTAAAAAAAAAGATTTATTGGCTCATGTAATGGAAAATTCCATAATTAAGAAGAGTTTAAGGCATAACTTAGTAGAGGCTCTAGTTCCATTTTTTTTGCAGTTTTCACAGACTGCTCTCTTATCATGTATCATTTTGTCCTAAGCTTGGTTCTTCTGTCACAGAATGGCTGCCAATAGCTATTAGGGCTGTGTGCTTTCTTATCCAGAGAAAGAGAGTGCTTCTTCCTACAGTCACTGTTGGTAGAGAGTGTTTCTGCATGTCTTATGAGTAGAGACACTGGATGCCTTTGTTATAAACAGTCTTTCTGAGGATACATATATAGTGAACAACTTTGGAAGACATATGTCTTCCCTCTAGAGCAAAAGGCAGGTTGTTTTCTGTCCAGCATAATAAAGATGATGTCTCCTTCCCAGGCAAAGTTGAGGCACACTTATTGCCCCATATAAAAGATTTGGATTCTCTGCGCTCAGGGTTCTTCTCCTATAATGCAACCACTGTGTGTGCAGGCATCATAGTCCTATTCATCTCTCACCATGGGAATTGCAGTTTGGAGAACCAAGGTGAACGCTGATATTCTGGCTATTGCTAATGCTGTAGATCTTTGTTTCTGACCCAGGAGTCTAATGTCTTCTGCCAGTGTCTACGAAACTATGGTAGAATAACTTTTTAGGTTGGAGGCAAGATACATTCTGAGACCCTTTGCATTTCTTTTTTTTTGTTTGTTTATTTGCACTTCAGATAGAGCAGGAGGGAGAGAGAGGGGAAGAGAGAGTGAGAGAAACATCTACGTGAGAGAGACACATGGAGTGGTTGCCTCCCACATGACTCCAACTGGGGCTGGGAATAAACTGCAACCGAGGTTTGTGCCCTTAGTGGGAACCGAACCCTGGACTTTCTGGTCTGCGGACTGATGCTCTAACTGCTGAGCCAAATCAGCCAGGGCTGTATTTCTTAACAGTTATTTAGATTAGATTCATTTTTCTAGTTTAAAGTGGAAAAGTTTAAAAGTTCTAGTTAAAGTTTGAAAGTTCTGAACTTGCGCTGATAAGGCTATTCCTGAATGAATCCCTGTGACAAGACAATCACATGAGCTGACTGAACTAGTCACTGTGACAAGGGATTGGATATTCTCTTCGGCTTTTAACCTTTAGGACCAATTACTGAAACTCCTCTTATAATCTGCAAGGATATGGGAAATAATTTCCCATATCCTTGCAGATTATAAGAGGAGTGGAATGGATATTGGGTAATTAATTATCCACCACACTTTATTTTATATTTCAAATTAAGCATGTGATACATTTATAATTTATTTTTTAAAAACTTCAAGAAGAGAAAAGAACTTTTGCCATCACTAAATGTTGGCTTTATTTTGCTCTGTCTCACCTGTTTTGTTTTTGTTTTTTTTTAGGTTTGTGCAGTGGCATCAGCTAAGCTAAACACCATTCTACAGACCAAAGTGATTGAAAATCAAGATGAAGCATGTTATATTTTAGGGAAGCTAGAACATGTTCTAAGTCAATCAATCAAGGAACAGACAGAAATCTACTCATTTCTGATTCCCCTTGTTCGTACCCTGGTTTCCAAAATTTATGAGCTTCTCTTCATGAACTTGCACCTGCCTTCTTTACCTTTTACCAATGGTAGTTCCTCATTTTTTGAAGATTTTCAAGAATATTGCAGTTCAAATGAATGGCAAGTTTACATTGAAAAATATGTAAGTTTTATCTTTTTTGAGTGAGATTTTTCTGCTAAATTATTATTTTTATAGACGTATATATTAAATTTTGTATATATATTTTTATAAGATTATACCTTATATGAAGCAATATGAAACCCATACATTTTATGATGGTCATGAGAACATGGCACTTTATTGGAAGGACTGTTATGAAGCCTTAATGGTGAATATGCATAAAAGAGACCGGGAAGGAGGAGAAAGTAAACTCAAGTTTCAGGTAAAAATTGTTAAGTGCTTTTATTATCTAGTTTTTTAATGTTGATATCAAACATTTAATATTAAGATGAGAGCAATAACAAGTATGAACTTTGAAAACAAATAGTATTTATGACTATCTGAAATTATTTTAGAATTGGAATAAAACATTGCTCAGTAACAAAAATTTAATAGCAAAATGTTCTATATGTGGTGATTATGTAAAAAGTCTATTAAGGTTATAGTAGGTTTCTCTAAGGAGTCTGAGTATAAATTAGTGCTCAGGGGGAAATTTATAGCATGAAATATTTATATTAGGAAAGAAGAAAGAACTCAAATTAATAATTTAAGTTTCCACTTTAAACTAGAAAAAAGGAATCTAAATTAGTTTCTAAGTAAATGAAATTGGAAGCAGGAACACAACAGAGAAAATCAATGAGATGAAAATCCAAATATCAATAAAATTGATAAATTTCTAGCTAGATTGACAAAGCGAAAAAAGGTAAGTGAAAAATTACCAGTAACCAGAATGAAAGGGGAGGTATCACCACTGACTTCACAGATGTCAACATGTGGCTTCTGTAAACCAATCTGTGAACATAAATGAGATTTAGGTTTGTGCAGTGGCATCAATTTCTTGACAAATACAAATTTCTAAAACTAATCCAATAATAAGTAGATAACCAGGATAGTCCTCTGTTTGTTAAAGATATTAAGTGTATTGGTTAAAAACCTTCCAAAAGGACAAGCTTCAGACACAGGTTGTTTCACTAGCAAATTTTACCAAACATAATGGAGAAATTACACCAGTTTTTCATAGCCTCTTCTGAAATAGGAAAGTGGGTTCACTTCCCAACTCATTATGTAAGGGCAGTATTACTTTTATGTACAAATCATACAAAATAGTGTAAGAAAACTACAGACCAATATCTCTCAGGAACATAGGTGTAAATCAAATCCAGCAATGTATGAAAAAAAATATATCACACCAGGTAGAGTTTATCTTGGGAATGCAAGGCTGGTTCAACATTTGATAATTGATATAATGAACCACATTAGTAGACTTACCGAGAAAAAATACATGATCATATCAATAGATGAAGAAAAGTATTTAATAAAATTCAACATCTATTTATGATCAAAGCTCTCAGCAAACTAGAAATAGAAGAGCACTACCTAAATCTCTACAGAAATCCTACAGCTAACTTTGTATTTAAAGGTGAAAATCAGTGCTTTTCTATAGGACAGAGAAGATAGAGAACTAGGCAGGAATGTCTCCTTTTACCAATCCTAATCACTGTTGTTCTATAAGTGCTGGCAAGTGCAGTAAGAAATAAAAGACATTTACATTGAGAAGGAAGAAATAAAACTATTTGCAGATAACATGATTATCTATGTAAACAATTCTAAGGAATCTACCAAAAATTTTCTATAATTAATTAATTAATGAGTTTAGCAAGATTGTAAGACACAGGATCAATACACAAAATTTGATCATAGTGCTGTAAGTTAAGCAATAAACAATTGGAAACTGAAATTTAAAAAATATTGTTTAGAGTATCTCTAAAAAATGAAATACTTAAGTATCAGTTTAACAAAATATGTACATGATCGGTATGCTAAAACTACAAAATACTGTTGAAACAAATTAAAGAAGACCAGATAAAAATACATATTTATTTCATAACATAAGCTCCTTGTTGGTTATTTTTTTAAATTAAAAAAAATACAAACCATTTTGATTACAAGCTTCTTTCTTTTACTATATGATTTTATTGGGTCAAATTTTTATTTTTATTCTTAAATCCTGACCTGAGGATTTTTTTTCTTCTGAAAAAAATTTTTTTTTAGATAGAGTGAGGAGGAGGGTGGGAGAGAGAAAGAGACATTGATTGGTTGCCTCCCGCACAACCCGAATCAGGACCGGGGATTAAACCCTCAACCGAGGTAGGTGCCCATACTGGGAATCAAACCTGCAACTCTTTTTTTTTTTTAATTTTTAATTTAATTTTTAATCATATATTTTTTTATTGTTGAAAGTATTACAGATGTCCCCTTTTTTTCCCCATTGACCCCCTCCTCCCTGCACCTACCCTCCTCCTCCCTTCCCTAGCCTAGTGTGAACCTGCAACTCTTTGGCCCACGGGGCATTGCTGTAACTACTGAGCCAAACCAGTCAGGGCTGAGTCAAATTTTTAAAGTTATGGCATTGAAATTTAAAATATACCTGTAAATATATGATTCAGTGGTATTATTTATTGCTCTTTTAGGAATTTTTTGTGGAGCCGTTTAATCGAAAAGCACGCCAAGAGAACTTGAGGTATAATAATATGCTTAAACAGCTGAACAGTCAACAGTTAGCCACTCTGAGACATTGGAAGGCAATACAAGTCTACCTAACATGTGAAAGGGGACCGTGGGCTGAAAGGTATGACTATATCATTTATTAAATAACCATTTTTCTTTAGAATTCTGGTCTAGACCTTTTTTTTTTTTTTTTTTTTTTATCCTCACCCGAGGGCATTTTTCCATTTTTCGTACAGATAGAGTGGGAGGGAGAGAGAGAGAGAAACATCGACGTGAAAGGGACACATCGAGTGGCTGCCACCCGCACGACCAACCAGGGCCGGGGACAAACTGCAACCGAAGTACGTGCCCTTAGCGGGAACCGAACCCGGGTCTCTCCAGACCGCAGGCCGACGCTCTAACCGCTGAGCCAAACCGGCCAGGGCAAGACCTTTTTTTTAAAAATATTTTATCCTTTATTGATTTTTTAGAGAGAGAGGAAGTGAGAGGGAGAGAGAGATAGAAACATTGATGAGAGAGAAATTGATTGGCCACCTCCTGCATGCTCCCCTCTGGGGTTCGGACCCAAAACCTGGGCATGTGTCCTGACCGGGAATCAAACCGGCGACCTCTTGGTGCATGGATTGACACTCAGCCACTGAGCCACACCAGCCGGACTGGTCTAGACCTTTTAAAGCCAGTGGCCTCTCCAATCCAATTTTTAAAAAGTTCAATTTATAAAAGAACATGGGAGATGGGAGAAGGGGCTATACACTTATTTTATTTTAATTAATTATGAAGTTATCACACATTTTTTCTCTGAAATATGCATTATTAGAATTAGACTTACAGTGTTTTTTTTTTTAATCTGTATTGTTAAATGTAGAAAGTATTACAGATGTTCCTCATTTTTCCCCCATTGATCCCCTCCTCCCCACTCTCGCCCCCCTCCCACCTTTTCCCACACTATTGTGTGTGTCCATTGGTTATGCATATAAGTTCTTTAGTTTATTTCTTCCCACCCCCCAACCCCTTTCCCTTTGAAGTTTGTCAGTCTAGCAATGAATTTGTATTTCTTAATCTCTTCACCTTTTTCACCCATTCCCCCAACCCCCCTCCCATCTGGCAACCAACAAAATGTTCTCTGTACCTATGAGAATGTTTCTGTTCTGCCTGTTCATTTTGTTTGTAGATTCCATTGTCGATAGATATGTATTCATTGCCATTTTGTTTGTTCATATATTTTATCTTTTTCTTCAAAAAGACTCTTCATCATTTCATATAATAACAGTTTGTGGTGCTGAACTCCTTTAACTCTTTCTTGTCTGGGAAAGTCTTTATATGGCCATCGATTCTAAATGACAGCTTTGCAGGATAGAGTAATCTTGGTTGTAGGTTCTTGCTTTTCATCACTCTGAATATTTCTTGCCACTCCCTTCTGGCCTGCAAAGTTTCTTTTGAGAAATCAGCTGACAGTCTAATGGGAACTCCCTTGTAGGTAACTACCTGCCTTTCTCTTGCTGCTTTTAAGAGTCTCTCTTTGTCTTGAACCTTTTGCATTTTGATGATGATGTGTCTTGGTGTGGACCTCTTGGGGTTCATCTTGTTTGGGACTCTCTGTGCTTCCTGGACTTGTATGTCTGTTTCCTTCACTAAGTTAGGAAAGTTTTCTGCCATTACTGTTTCAAACAGGTTTTCAATTTCTTGTTCTCTCTCTTCTTCTGGCACCCCCAAGATGCGAATGTTGGCACGCTGGAAGTTGTCCCAGAGGCTCCTTACATTATCCTCATTTTTTTGGATTATTTTTTCTTTTTCCTGTTCTGATTGGGCATTTTTTGCTTCCTTATATTCCAAATCGATGGTTTGCCTCTTGGCTTTACCTATTCTACTATTGAATCTGTATAAATTATTCTTTATTTCAGTTAGTGCCTCCTTCATTTCTGACTGTGCATCCATCATTTCTGACTGGTCCTTTATTATGCTCTTGAGGCCCTCACTAAGTTCACTGAGGTTCTCACTAAGTTCATTGAGCATCCTTATAAGCAGTATTTTGAACTCAGCATCTGTTAGGTTGCTTATCTCCATTTCGCTTAGTTCTTTTCCTGGGGTTGTGTTTTGTTCTTTCATTTGGGACCTGTGTCTTTGTCTCCTCATTTTGGCTTCCTTCCTGTGTTTGTTTCTATGTATTGCTTAACGAGAGGTATGGGGCTATCTGAGACCAGAGGCTGCTTGTTTGAAAGAATTTAGGAAAAACCTGAAGCAGGATCCAAGACAGGCCAATCCTATGATTAAGCAAGTGGCAACAACTTGGGTGGGCCTGAAAGTTGGGTGGGGCAGGGCTTCAGGGAATCACCAGGGTGGGGCTACCAGTGTGAGCCAGGTTGCTGGAGTCCCAGGTATGGTGACTGTCTGCGGCCCCAGGGAAGGGCTCATGAAAGGAACAAAGGCCTCTGACAGCACATTTGTCCTGGAGAAAGCCCCCTCTCCAGGAGAAAGCCCCCTCTCCAGCCCTCGCTCCAGTGCCAAACAGCTCAGTTCTTCCCTGTATGTCTCTGGTGCCCCTCGAGCTGCCTCCCCTCCAAGCTTAGAAGGAGAGAGTTTGATAAGTCCGTGCGCGGGCCCTTTAAGGAGCTGCCTGGTGCTCCAGCCGCGTCAGCTTCCCTGAGCCTTAGTTCCTGCTGGTTTTTCCAGCCAGAATTATGGGTACTTTTCCTGGCACTGGAACCCTGAGCGGGGCACCTGGTGTGGGACAGGGACCCTTAAGTCTTCAGGAATGACCTTCCCAGCCGAGGTATCCTCCTGATTTTTATCCACCACGTGGGTGTGGGACCAGCCTGTCGTGCCTCTGCCCCTCGCGCCTCCGCCCCTCACACCAATCTTGATGTGGCTGGTGCTTTAATTCTGTAGTTGTAGGACTTCCATTCAGCTTGATTTCAGGCGGTTTTGAATGACAGTTCTGTAGTTTAGTTGTAACTTTGATGTCTTGTGGAAGGACGCGATACCACGTTTACCTACGCCGCCATCTTGACCAGAAGTCCGGGTCAGGTTTTAGACTTACAATTTTTAAAGACCTGGAAAATGTTAATGAAATCATATTAAATTTCTAAAATACTCAAATTATATGGGATATTATCAAGGTATGTAAAATGCAGAGATTAAGACCAAAAAGAAACACACTCATTTGTTATCAGTGATGACCTTTGGAAAGAAATTGCTGGCAAAGATTGCAGTAAAAAATTATGGCTCGCCCTGGCCGGTTTGGCTCAGTGGTTAGAGCGTCCGCCTGCGGTCTGGAGAGACCCGGGTTCGGTTCCCGCTAAGGGCACGTACCTCGGTTGCAGTTTGTCCTAGGCCCTGGTTGGTCGTGCGGGTGGCAGCCACTCGATGTGTCCCTTTCTCATCAATTTTTCCTTCTCTAAAAGACTAATAAAGCTGATGAAACCTTTCAATAGCATCTTTAAAAAAAAAAAAATCATGGCTATACAAGTGTATGAATTCTAAAATCGAAGTTAAAATAGCATATGAGTGCCTTATATATTTTGGATATTAATCACTTATTGTATCATTTGGGAGTGTCCTCTGCCATTTATTAGGTTGTCTTTTTGTTTCGTTGATGGTTACTTAAGCTGTGCAAAAACTTTATTTTGATGTAGTTCTATTGGTTATTTTTGCTTTGTTTCCCTTGATGAGGAGAAAGATCCAAAAAGATATTGCTAAGAGCAATGTCAAAGAGTTTATTGGTTATGTTTTTTTCTAGTTTGATGGTTTCAGGTCTTATATTTAAGTCTTCAATCCATTTTCAGTTTGTTTTTGTAGATGGTATAAGAAAGTGGTCCCATTTCATTTTTTTCATGTGTCTACCCAGTTTTTCCCAGCACTGCTTATTGAAGAGACTGTCGCCATTGTATATCCTTGCCATCTTTGTTGTAAATTAATTGACTGTATAAGCAAATATTTACTTCAGGGCTGTTTATTCTGTTCCATTGATCTATATGTTTCTTTTTACACCAGTATCATATGGTTCTGATTATTATAGCTTTATACTATAGTTTGATATCAGGGAGAGTTATACCTTCCACTTTGTCCTCTCTCAGAATGTCTTTGGCTATTCAGGATTTTGTGGTTCCGTGTAAATTTTTTTTTTTTTATCCTCACCTGAGGACACTTTTCTATTTTTTGTCCAGATAGAGTGGGAGGGGGAGAGAGGAAGAGAGAGAGAGAAACATCGACGTGAAAGGGACACATCGAGTGGCTGCCACCCACATGACCAACCAGGGCCGGGGAAAAACTGCAACCGAGGTATACGCCCTTAGCGGAAACCGAACCCGGGTCTCTCGGGACCGCAGGCTGATGCTCTAACTGCTGAGCCAAACTAGCCAGGGCTGGTTCCGTGTAAATTTTAAGGTTAGATGTTCTACTTCTGAGAAGAATGCCATTGGTATATATGTATATATTCATCTTTTTTCTTTTATCCTCACCCGAGGACATTTTTTCATTTTTTGTTTAGATAGAGTGGGAGGGAGAGAGAGAGAGAGAAACATCGATGTGAAAGGGACACATCGAGTGGCTGCCATCCGCACGACCAATGAGGGCCGGGTCAAACTGCAACTGAGGAACGCGCCCTTAGCGGGAACTGAACCCAGGTCTCTCTGGACCGCAGGCTGATGCTCTAACCACTGAACCAAACCAGCCAGGGCTATTTTATTTTTTCTTTATTGATTTTTGAGGGAGAGGAAGGGAGAGAGAGAGAGAGAGAGAGATAGAAACATTGATGCAAGAGAACATCAATTGGCCGCCTCCTGCATACCCCCCACTGGGGCCCGGGCCCACAACCTGGGCATGTGCCCTGACTGGGAATTGACCCGGCGACTTCTTGGTGCATGGGTTGATGCTCACCACTGAGCCACAATGCCCGGGCTATATATTCATTTCTACTGTTGAAAGTATTACAGATGTCCTGCTTTTTCCCCCTACATTGATCCCCTACATTCACCCTCCTCCTACTTTCCCCACACTCTTGCCTGTGCCCATTGGTTATGCGTATATGCATATAAGTTCTTTGGTTTATCTCTTCTTGCCTCCCTATCACCCTTCCCTCCAAAGTTTGTCAGTCTGTTCCCTACTTCCATTTCTCCAGATCTT